AATTATGGGCATTCTATTATTTTTGGCAACTTCAATGCTGACATGCTTATCGATACGTATGATAGTATGCAGTTGAATAACTTCGTCGACTCTGCTCATTCGTACTGTGTACCGTACCAGGCTACGTATCACTTGAGAGATCTGCTTGATCTCTGTATTGTTGATGATAGTATAAAGATCACTGGTTTTGGTCAACATGGCATGGCATTTCTTTCGACGACCTTATATCGGCATAACCTTATATACATCAGGTACAGTATCGGGATACGACACTCGGATCGATTTGTCATGTGTCAAAATTTTAAATTTTTTAACGAGGAGATCTTTTTTTCAGAAATACAAAGCCTTGACTGGTCAATGTTGATTGAAGAAAGTTCCATTGATCGGTAGGTAGACAGTTTAAATTCGAAACTGCTTATTATAACTGACATGCACCGCTGCGGAGGATTTTTTATAAAAATGCTCTAACCCTATGGATCACTCCTAAGCTTAAGATAGCTATGCGAGAGCGTGACCTTGCCAGAAGGGTATAGCGCAGGAGGGGTGATAGAAATAGCTATCAGAGCTTTAAGCTGCTCAGAAATAAAGTGCAAGGTCGCGGTGAGAAAGGCCAAAAGTGACTATTACTTGTCAGTCTTCAGCTCTCAATCCATTGGAGTAGATTGAAGCATCTTGGTCTTCTCAAGGCCAAAAATAATGGTTTACAGCTTCAACATTCAGTGGATGAACTAAATGTTCATTTTGCTTAAACTGGCGAACGAAGTATCATCGACCTCGTATGGGATGAAGAATTTGACGATAGCAAGTTTTACTGGAATTACGTTACTCCGATGAATCAGTAGAACATTTGATTTGATAAGATCTTGTGCAGTTGGCACAGACGATGTCTCTCCTAAACTGCTGAAACTTGTTGCGCCTTACGTTCTGCCTATTCTTGAGCATATTTTTAACTATTCATTAATGCATGGGGTCTTTCTTGCTCAGTAGAAGTCTGCGGTGGTGTGTCCTATCTAAAGGCTAGAAATCCTATAACAGTTAATGATTATCGACTTATTTTAATTTTCCCTGCACTGTCGAAAACACTGGAAAGAATTGTATGTGGACAAATCTGTTCTTTCCTAGAAAGATTTGATTTGTTTGATTGCCTACAGAAGGACTCACTACATACAAACATGTTTTATTGGTACACTTGATGATATCAGATATGATATCAGATCTAGTCCGCGGACCAGAGGAGAGTTATTCTGTATTTTATTTGACTTTTCAAAGGCCTTTGACAGAATAAAATGATATTTTAATAAAAAAAGCTTAAATGCGCCTCTCTCACTCGATGTTATCATGGGTTGCATCATATCTTACGGGCAGGATATAGGTAGTTGGGGACAGGTGGAGTGGCTCTGAGTCCGTTTCTGCTGTCGGAATTCTATAAGGCTCTGTTCTTGAGCCTGTGCTCTTCAATTTATATCTGTCTGATTTCGGAAGCATCTCCGGTTATTGTAGATATAATTTTTATGCCGACGATTTAATTATTTATTTGGACTGCGAATTGTCCAGACTATAATAATAGAGACCATAATGAAGATTAATGAGGA